GTAACTAATTGAGCTACCTGATTAACGGAAAGGTCCTGGCCAAACTGTGCTACTGTTATATCTAAACGGAAGTTAAGGGAGGTAACTCTGTATAGGAAAAACAGCATTGCAGTGAGACAGGGATCCTTAGACTGTATGCTACTTTACTCTGACAGTTATCTCATCTCCTAAATAGTTCTATATTTTACGACTTATAAATGTTGATATTAAAGATGTATTACTAATTGCTAATCAGGGAGATTACACTACCACAAATCTCAGGTGTAAAGAGATTACACTACCACAAATCTCAGGTGTAAAGGGTTACTCTAATGCACTGTAATGTAAAGCACATGTATCGTGTGTAAGGTAGACAATGCTAGCACAAATCAGAAATATAATGTTTAAGGGAGATAACTCCAAAACAAGTCATAGGTAAGGGAGATAGCGGCGTGAACAATTCACAAGAGTGAAATAAGAGATATAGTCTGCAAGGGAGGTAGCTCCAAACCAAATCACAGTTATAAAGTGCAAGGGTAGGGAATGCTTTAGACAAATCCAAAGTGTGATGTGTAAGGGAGACAACTCTGGCAAAAAATCAGAGGTAGAATTTATAAGGGAGATAACTCTAACACAAGTCGCAGGTATAAAGTGCAAGGTGGAGTATGCTATAGACAAATCACAAGTGTGATGTGCAAGGGAGATAACTCTAAGACAAAAAACGTGTCTGGTAGTCATATATTCTTACGAGAGTTGGTATGGGTATAGAGCCATGTTTGATCATCAACCATGGACTTTGGTCAGGCTGTCTCGTCTAATGCGGTTAAACAGGGAAGTAAACAACAACTAACCACTGCCTTGCTTTCAGTTAATTAAGCATGGACAGATGCTTAATAGTTCCTTTAGCATGAGCAAAGAAAACATGAGTTGAACCATAGACATCCAGACATGAGCACTGCTGAATCTTGTGTCCCTGTACATGCGCTTAACTCATTCACCCCTGAAGACACGTTTGAACTCTTCCAATTCAAAGGTTGGAATAGTTAATTATGAAATTTTAGGGTTGAATGAGTTAAGGTATGATCTAAGCGAGTTCAAGCCATCTCTGCAAGGGCTATCAGCACATGTGTTTACATATGACTGAAATAAGTTAGTTTTATCCTTTTCTAGTTCAACCATGTTTAGTTTGTTTGTGCAGGATGTCGTAATATCTCATTCACCCCTGACTTATCATGATGAACTATTCCAACGTTTGAATTGGAAGAGTTCAAATGGGTGTTCAGGGGTGTATGAGTTAACAGGTCATTTAAGGACAAGTCAGGTTATATCAGGCTTACCTCTAAAAATGTGCATTACGTATGACCAAAGTAAGGTTGAACCTTCTCTAGTAAAATCTGGGTGACCTTCCCCTTTACGTATGACCAAAGTAAGGTCGAACCTTCTCTAGTAAAATCTGGGTGACCTTCCCCTTTACGTATGTCAAAAGGAGATTAATTGTATCCTTCCCTAATAAAACCAGGCTCAACTACATATGTGATTTGTATATGACCAAAAGGAGTTTGATATTTCTCTAATGAGACCAGGGTCACCTACATATGTACTGAACGTATGACCAAAGGTAGTTTGATATTTCTATAGTAATACCAGGGTCACCTGCACACCTGCTTTGCATATGACCAAAGGGAGGTTGATATTTCCCAAACAAGATTAGGATCACCTGCACACCTGCTTTGCATATGACCAAAGGGAGGTTGATATTTCTCTGAGGAGACCAGGGTCACCTACATATGTACTTAACGTATGACAAAAGGGAGTTTGATATTTCTCAAACAAGATTAGGGTCACCTGCACACGTGCTTTGCATATGACCAAAGGGAGTTTGATATTTCTCTAATGAGACAAGGCTCACATATATATGTACTTTACGTATGACCAAAGGGAGTTTGATATTTCTCTAATGTGACAAGGCCCACACATATATGTACTTTACGTATGACCAAAGGGAGTTTGATATTTCTCTAATGAGACAAGGCCCACATATATATGTACTTTAGGTATGAACAAAGGGAGTTTGGTATTTCTCTAATGAGACATGGCCCACATATATATGTATTTTACGTATGACCAAAGGGAGTTAGATATTTCTCTAATGAGACCAGGGTCAACTATATATGTACTTTACGTATGACCAAAGGGAGTTAGATATTTCTCAAAGTTAGACCAGGCTCACCTAAGTTGATTACTAAAGCCGTTCCTACTGTGAAAGATAGCATATACTCGTATATTATTGTACTATACCGGACACTACAGACCGAGAGTGTATACGTTTTATTTCATTGAATTATTATTAACACAGTTGGTTGACAATCCTGTCTCTATTTACTTCCTTTTTGTTCTTTACATTATTTAATGTTAATGTTTAATTCTTGTATCTTCTACAGTAAGATACCTGTACATAATATTTTGATATTTTTACTATCACTCCTGACCCCCTGAACCCTGCGGCCATGACATCATGTCTCACATTTCAACTATGGTTAAACAAGAAGTAGTAGTTCTCCATTTTCCACATCCTTGATATTTTAGGTGTTACACTCACTTTCACTCTCTGCACCCATGTAATGTGTCCTAGCTTAACTGAAGGCATGCAGCTAGTTATTTGATTGGTCATAGGTTAAAAAAAAATGACCAATCGCTAGACTGACACATGTCCTTTGAAGATTACAGAGGAGCGACACCACCTCAAAGCCAGTCAATTTAATGGTTACTCTTCCAAAGATTCTTTTGATGTATATCAAATGAACAAACTAGTCTTCTTGTCTTATCCACAAGGTTGGTTTCACTGCGCCTTCCATTTTGTCTTGACATATTCCAGTGGTGCAGAGAGAGAAAGCGAGTAACCCCTAGATTATCGAGGATGTTTTCTCCATAGAGTGTTTTATTTCTGTTATTGTAGTGGAACCAGCCCTAAGTACAGTGTGTGTACAATCTAATGGACTCGTGTCAAATAAATAACTCAAATGGGAAATTAGATAAAATGTTTTGTCTTCCTGTTGCCACCTCAAACAAATCTATCGTAGATTTTAACTACAATCTACTTCAATTAGATAACTTCACCCATATATGTTGCATGCTCGAAAAATTTCATGGAAATGTCAGTGTGGTCAGGTCGCAATCCACTTACGATCCACAACAACCGCGATGTTGGTTCCACTCTCTTCCATTTGAAAACCCAATTTAACAAATTTATTGTGATGTTTTGTATATTTTTTTTTATTAATGTTTATTCAAAAATGTAATAAGTAAGAACAACTTTGTTTGAATTTATGATAAAAGAAAGAAGTAAAAAGTATTACACAAATATTCGAAGTAGATTTACTGACTAGTCATGTTGATATTTTTGTAGAAAACACCTGTATTTTTGTAGCCAAGTTAAAATATAGAATGTTTACGTTTAGACAAAAGGGTATGTTTTAATACAGAATTTGAATTAATCATATTTACAATTACAGAATTGTGCTTAAATTAAAGATCAGATTAAAAACCTGAAAGTTTCAGGATGCTCCATAATCCGACCTCCACAGTCAGGAAAGTGAAAGTGGACTTTAGATATTTGTAATAATTAGTGATATTCTAGTGAAAATGTCTGCTTTATTAATCCGGAACATGTTGTTATCTAAGTATTTGTTGGAAACAAAAGTTTACGGACCAACAATATGTGTCTGTATGTATATTTGTTATGTACTGGACAGAACTAGACCTTACTGACCTGAATCTTTTGCTCTTGTCGGAACATTTTCCCAGTGAGTTAACTAAACCAGCATTATATGATTAATATTTAATATACAGTTTATTATAATTTATATCACAAACTTTTTCGGATCTAAAACCCTTTATACATCTGTAGGTAAAACATTAAGTCACATAAGATGGATAGTTGTTTATGTTCTTAACAGACAAAATCTTGACAATGTTATCAATGATGTTCATTTCAAATATTTTATAAAACAACTATTTAACAAGGAAAGCTAATCACAATCATGATTTGATGATTACGATATTTTGCAAGAAAAATCCCCAGAGAATAAAGACCCAGTATATCTGTATGTGAAAAGGAAAGTTTAGTTTATAGGGATTTTTTACTACCCCCAATATATTTTCCTAATGTTGACTATTTATAACTTATTTTATTGGTCTCCAAAAACAGCAGAATGGTTATTGATACATTTCTTTATTGAATAACACAAAATTATAATAATGTACACATTCAAATTTAATTTTTAACCAATTTCTAAGGGGAGGAGCGATTTAAAATATTTGCATTTTTCTTCGCTGATGAAAAGATGTTACAAGATATCTTGTGAGATAGAGCAAAATTACCTCTTTCGCAGTTTTATCTCTGCATCAAAATATTACTTTGTCAATTTCCTCAAAACTTGTTGAAATTGATTGCCATTTTGGAGATGAATAAAATGTTTCATAAAACCTGATGAAAACATTGTTCTGTAGTATGTAGTTTCATTGTAGTTGCTTTTCATGTTATCTCTCTCTCTATCAAATGTGTAAATATTGTTTTTTGTTTTGTTTTATTTTTCAACATTATTTTTGTCTTTTCAATATTTAGAAGAACTAAGTCATGTGTGATCCATTTACAGACAATAAAATATTCCAACTTCACAAAGTATCTTTGATGTTTCCTTTGGCCAAGTTATTCCACTACTATTGAGGATGTGACATATCTATATATATATAGTAGGTTGAGTGTGTACAGCTTACCTGGTTTTGTCTAAAGCACGAATGATACAGGCCTTAAGGATCGCTTGTTTAAGGGTACTTTCGATTTTTGGTTTTGGACAGATGGACTGTACGTGTACATCAGTTATGTAACGTCACTTCTCATTGGTCAATTGCTGTATGTCATCATCCCACCATTATATAGTGATACTTACAGATATACTGGTACTGGGTGACTTGTAGCATGTTGTTATGTTAGATTGTACAAAACAAAACAGAGGCATTTAAGTGATCTACATCAATTTACTAATAATGCTTGAGGGATGTTATTATACACAAATGATTTATACAAAAACTGTTACAATGTAAAAGAAGAACCAAAACAAGGAACGTTCAGTACTTTATGCCTAATCAAACTATCCACCCTTCATTTTAGTCAAAATTAAAAAAGAATAAAAAAAACCGAGCAAAAATTATGAATGAATATTACAGTCAGAAATCTGAAGTGTTCCAGCACATGGAGAAAGTAAGACTTTGGTGACATTTTGGGTCCTAGGTAATGCTGTTTACCTTCGGTATTCCTCGAGGGAGAATTACATGCTAACATAACACGTCTAACTGAAGGGTCTACAGAAAACAAACCCTAGTTCTAGACAGTACACACCTAACGAATGTCTAATCAGACCTAATAAGGACTATTACGGCACCTTTTCGAGTTTTGGAAGGTTCTGCAAGTGATCAAAGTTTCCAATCATTGCGTTTAAAGCGCAAATGGCCCTTCATAGGTTGACAAGGCATTAACTTTATCATTGTAACACATGTGGTCAACTAAATGTGTAATGCATTTAAATAATGAAGTCACATTTTATCTTTTGTTCCATGTAAAATCAAAAAGTTACACTAAAACAAATCTACAACTATATCCGGGATAGACTAAGCAATAAATTGTATACAATATTTATCTTGAATTAACAACAATGTAGAAATATGGTTTAGAAGTTGAATTTGTATACTACATATATGATTGTATAGAAAGAAAAAAATCCTTATAAAATCTTATCAAATTAAATACATACATCTTTTCTGGTGTATACATTTAATATTGAGCATAAAGTGTAAGTCTGTTTATGGATTGTGACAGTAGGAGTACGATATCAAAGACGGAACGTTCATAGTATTATCTAGATTTTACTCATAATGATACGAGTTAAGATAGATAACAACAAATACTGTAATGCAAGTTAGTTTTCGGGTTGGTTTAATTTCGAAGATTTGGCTGATCAAAATATCAGATCGAGAAAAACACCTTTTGCTTGCGTATAACCAAAGCTGTAATACACATTCATAATCACCATCTTATATCGTGATGGTTTGAATATCGCTAGAAATACCAAACTCATCAATATAACATTTCAAAATATCAGATCGAAAAACGTGGATATTGTAATGGATTTAGCTATTATGAACTTTGAATGTTTCAATATCGCTAGAAATACCAAACTCATCAATATAACATTTCTTAGTTTCTGAAAAATATCCAAACAAAAATTGCGAAGCATTTTAACATTAGTTTTACACTTAAATTGTAAATTATTTGTTAGTCAGAGAAACCTACTGTATAATATACAATTTCAGAATTACATCTGTGTACAAACCAAACCCCAACATAACGGGGGCAAAATCAAAACAGACATCAAGCTACTATTTTTACATAATTTGTTTGAACCACCCGGCAAATCTTATGCAGTTGATTTTACAACTCCCCAATAACTGATAACAATAGTAGATCGGAAATTTCTTCATGTTGAATTCTAGACCGTTTGTTAAATGCTGAAAGAAAATGGGGGCAACAGTTTTCCTGTTTACACTATGACCGTAATTGTTTTGGGAATAAGATTAATGAACATGTTCATATCAACTCATTCATCCCTGAAATTTTATAATGAACTATTCCAACCTTTCAATTAAAATAGTTCAAATGTGTCTTCAAGGGGGAACGAGTTAAATATTTTAACACATTAACCAATGTTTTAACAGCTTAAACTTGAACATAAAGATAACCCTTTATTTACCTAAACAGTCTTTCAATACTATTTGGGCTATCTGGTAAATGGCGTAAAACGGAGTCAGTTCAACCACACTATTAATGTAATAAAGTTTAAGTTACTGAAAGGAAAGAACAGCACGTTTTGTAGAAAGACATTTAAAAATCTCTAACATTTCAATAAATCACTCTACACCTGAACTCATTAATGAAAACACAGACATTTACACACACAAATGTATCTTTTATTTCACTACACATTTGCGCATAATTCTTGATTGTACATCGATTATAATTTCCACTCTTTCGTGTTTCTCTGTGGATAAAATACAGAAGTTGTCCGAAGTCATCATTGAAATATGACCATATCTAAACAAGTGTTAACCCTTTCACCTCTAGGTAATTTTAGTAGACTCTACCATACATTGATCTGGATGAGCCCATTATGGTCTACAGTGGTGAAAGTGTTAAAATCTATAAAATACAATAACAAGAAAAAACAGACATAGAAAAGTAAAAAAGACCAATCTAAATATAGATTGTTTTCCCAAATATTCTAAAAATAGCTTAAGACCAATATGTTCAAAACACATTTAATAACAAATATTTCATACCCTGGACGGAACAATTTAGGTCATGCTGTGGACCTCTATAGTAATAGAGACCTACACAGGCAAAAGTTTTTGATGTCAAATTTAGGTCAAATGTTCAAATCTATTTGACCTGAAATTAACCTAAACTTTTGTTATGTGAAATTGACCTGAACTGAACCTGAATTTTACCAAAAATTCAGGTCAATTTTAGGTTCGAAAATTTTCAGGTCAAATTGACATGAAGCCATTTTGCCTCTGCACAATAGACACTTGACCTGTTTCATATTTACCACTTATCATACTGGCTGCCCTATTTGTAGGCTACAGCCTATCTCTAGTCCCCTGCACTAAAACAAACAAACCGTGTCATGTTATCACATAATGATAAAATATTGCATTAGGTCCGTTGCTCTTTGATCCTTACACAGAAGACTGAGAGTCTATAACAGTCAATCAGTGTACCTGATAGGAAATTCTTTTGGAAAACTTCGATTATTTTAATTGAGCACAAATTGTTAAGTTTGGTCATACTAGATGTATATAAACAGTTAATAAAATAGAAAATAAAGTATAAATATGGTCCCTCGTCAAATCTACCATGAACGAAATATTTTGATTATGAATCAATCAAATTATCTTTAGGCCTTTCTATAAATATTTATAACAAGAAAATGTATTGTAAGCACTGGATATGTTTCCCTACAAAATTCAAAACTTACTAAGATATATAACAAAGGGCTGTTCCACTACATAAAGTGAGATTCATTCCCTATTTTAGTATGCGACACTGCCCTTTGAGTGCTAGTCACAACTATAGTTGTGCTGTATATCTGTGGCCACCACTGCTAGTCACAACTATAGTTGCACATTCTATAAAATGGTATTTTATATGGTCAACAGCTAGTCGTGTTGATTAAAATTTAATCAAACATATCAAATAACCAATTTTCATTGGTATTAATATGTTTTAATATTAACACAAGTATTATTTTTGCAATGTTTTTACTAAAATTGTGACTTATAAAGTTCTATTCAAATTTAAACTACAGTGAAAATTAAATTTTCCTAATTAATTCAGCACTGATTGGTTACCGTATGTTATTTTAATGTAGCACTCTAAGGGTTAAAAACGGATCTCATTAACTGCGAGTTTGTAATCAACTTTATCTCATTAACTGTGAATCTGTTATGAATTTTAACCAATCAGTAAAAACAATCTCATTAACTGCAGGTCTGTCCTCAACTTGAACCAATCAGCTGGCAGTTTGCTTCATTCTGCGCTGCCTTCTTTCTGCCAACTTCTCCTGTAATCCCTGGTCCATACGTGCTTTGTTCATCTCTTCAACTTTCTGGTACTCTGAGATTCTTTGGTCGTGTACCTTTTTCAACTCCTCCATGTTACCTGAAAATAAAATTCACAACAGCTCAAGCATTAAACTTCAAATGAGCAAAAACGTATAACATATCAAACTCAGCAATGAACCATATTTGATGAGACAGAGGTGGACGTATACAAAATGACTCCTTTATTTCGTCAACATTGAACCTGTTTAATCATTTATTCAGCTTACAGTTAATTTTCTATTTCATTCACAACAGAGCTCCCTGTAGACCACTGGAAGTTACTTTTTATAAATTAATACAAGTCAAACGATTTTTTTTTTTTTATCTATACTGAACAGTGTGTTCTTAAACCAAATTTAATTGTTGAAAAATGGAAGTTAATTTCTGAATTTATACTGGACAGTGTAATTTAAAACAGACCTGGTGAAAAATTGGAAATTCATTTCATTATTATACCTCCTTGAAGGGCACCTTGTCTGTCTGAAAGTGCTCTACATAAATCATCATCGTGTGTAAGAGTGACATTAAGGTCATTGGAGTGTATTGATAAACGGACACAGGACGTACATCCCTAGTTGACAATCCAATGTAGGGAGACAGTATCACAATTTCCGCAAATTCTAATGTTTAATATTAAACTGATGAATATTGTATGTTTATTATTGACAGAACAGTGTGTTCTCTCAATATTAAAGTATTTCAAAGCAATCCAGGCATTAATTCAGGTTTTTCTTATCAATGAGTCACGTGTGTCCATTTTTCTGTACTTCAGGAAACCGGCTACCTATTTCACTACTGTGAAGTTTTTAAAGAACGATAACTCTTGCCTGCAATTACTATGTGTATTTATTTATTATAAAATGTCAATTTTTATATCCTGTATAGAGAATTAATTTTACACAATTTCAGCATTTATTAAATTGATATACATTAATGCAATACTTATCTATGTCAGTATCATTTTCATTGACATTATTTTGTAAAAATATTGTGTCTTTCATTTTATTTTCAAAATTCACTTCTTTTTACATAAATTTCCTTTTAAAATCCTTAAAATTCTGACAACCTATATTTTTTTTGTGGCAGAAAATTTTCTTTACTTTAAAGCAATATAACTACAAAATTGAAGAAATTCTACTGAGAAATGGTGACACAATCCTATTACCTTAAGTGACAGAAACATTTTGATGTCACTTTTAGCCACAGGCCACACTTACCTTCACATATAAGCAGTTACGTTACAATCTTTATTTTTTTTTATTTATCAATTTTCTTTTTTTGTTCATGATATTTTTCTTGGTTTGGTGTCTCAACAATTATGTTGTTTTCAGAATGTATAAACCATGACTTACCAAAGATTTCATCTTGTGAGGGCATTTTATCAGCAATATTCTTCATTGGGGGGGATGGAGTATTTTCCTGCTGCTGAGGAAAATAAACACACAAAGCTTAGAAATAATTCCTTACATTGCATAATAATGATAATAATTTGAGGTTCTTATATACCGCTTTATCTTAACCTAGTCTGTAGGTCGTCTCAAAGCGATTCACAAATTATTATTCGTGGTTATAGGGCCTTTGCAACCAGCCAATATCTGTTTCAACTCCCTGGGGAGTATACAGCCGGTGCTGCCATTTCTGTGCTCACAACTAGCATTCAACAATTCTAGCACTGCCCAACCACGTACTCATTTAAAGCTGAGTAGACTGGAACAATCAGAGTAAAGTATATTGCTGAAAGATACAACACAGTGCCGTGACATGACTCGAACCCACAACCCTTCCGTCATGGGCCCTGCGTACTACCACTAGACTATCATGTCTCCAGCATACACTATATTTCATATATTTTAGCAGCTTTGTGTAAGTTCTACATGACGTGCTTGTTTGGAGCCTCTAATATTGAACATAATATGAATATACATTTAATAACACATTTTATACATACTTACTAATAAATACGTGTTTTTTGTATATGCGATACGACACAATTGCTCTAACCCATATCAGCCCTCGTCGTATCACACCCCAAAACCCGTATCAGCCCCCACCGTATCACACCCACAAACCCGTATCAGCCCGCAAAACCCATCTCACACCCCTTTTGGACAAAAAAAACGTTTTTTAATATTTCAAAAATAAAAATAAATCATAAGATAGTAGTTTTTATTAGTAAGTATATAATAAACAGAATAAAACATGCCTTTTTCCATATCCCACCCAGTATCAACCCTCGACCAATATCGGCCCTCGGGCCTTCGGCCCTTGGGCTGATATTGGAGTCTCTGGTTGATACTGGGTGTGATATGGAAAAAGGCATGAATTATTCTCTATTTTATCACGTAATGTACTGTGTTATCCGGTGAATATACCCATATCATATTTGTTTGCGTATTAATATGTAATATGACATATCAGCCCTGTGATTGGTTTTTAATTTCAAAGACAAGTACATGTCGTCACAGACTTACGCACTGGAGTCAAAATGGTGGCTTTTTACATTTCAAGGTTGCATGAAAATTGTCGTTTTTCAATAATAAATGCAACAATTCTTGATTATGTGATAAAAAGGATATTATATTCGTTTTCATTTCATGTGAAATCTATGAACATCGTCGAGAAATATTTCATTTTAGCGAGCCTAACATTCTTAGACTCGTTTCATAAATCTCATATGAAATGGAAACTCGTGCTAGATCCTATATATATGTACATGTGCATATAAAATTGTAAATTAACTGATTTAGGTACAAATAACGTTGGATCCATGGACTTAGATTGACTCCGTTAAATCTGTACTGGATCTACAAATGGATATATTCCGAGACCTGGCAGTATTGTCCTGCGTCAAAATTTTCTCATTAATTTTTTATCATGATACTTAATATATATAGTCACTATACCACATAATATTACGTTAATGATGATGGGTCTTAAACAATACCATTCCCTAACCCAACAAACATGAGGTTACACTGTCCGAACAGTTCACGGGAAAAGCAACACCTTCAGTCTCGCTTCCACTACTTCGTCGGGCGAGACAAATTGTGTTGCGTCAATCTACGTCTTTGAAGTTATCAATGCATAATAGAAGCTAAGAGAAAAAATGTTTGTTTATTAAGTTAGGTGACTTCACTCAAGATTTTTGTAATCACAACAGTTGTTTTTGAAGTGTCCAGATACACCCGACACTGCTGTAGATATGATTCATCAAACCTATACTCATGCCTGAAACAAGTGTCCAGATACACCCGACACTGCTGTAGATACGATTCATCAAACCTATACTCATGCCTGAAACAAGTGTCCAGATACACCCGACACTGCTGTAGATACGATTCATCAAACCTATACTCATGCCTGAAACAAGTGTCCAGATACACCCGACACTGCTGTAGATA